GAGACACAGTGAGAGAGGGAACACAAGCAGGGGGAGTGGGAGAGGGAGAAGCAGGCTTCCCGCTGAGCAGGGAGCCCGATTTGGGGCTCGATCCCAGGACCCTGGGACCATGACCTGAGCTGAAGGCAGACGCTCAACGACTGAGCCACCCAGGCGCCCCGGTGGGATTGTTTTCTTAATTTCTCTTTCTACTACTTAATTATTAGTGTATAGGAATGCAACAGATTTCTGTACAATGAGTTTGTATCCTGCAACCTTACTGAATCCCTTTAGCAGTTCTAGTAGTTTTTTTGTGGAGTCTTTAGGGTTTTCTATATATAGTACTATCATGTCATCTGCAAATAATGAAAGTTTTACTTTTTTGTTACCAATTTGGATGCTTTTTATTTCTTTTTCTTGTTTGATTGCTGTGGCTAGGACTTCCAGTACTAAGTTGAAGGAAAGTGGTGAGAGTGGACATCCTTGTCCTGTTCCTGACCTTAGGGAAAAAGCTCTCAGTTTTCTACCATTGAGTATGATGTTGGCTGTGGATTTTTCGCATAAAGCCTTTATCATATTGAGCTATATTCCCTCTAACCCTCCTTTGCAGAGGGTTTTTATCATGAATGGATGTTCTACTTTGTCAAATGCTTTTTCTGCATCTATTGAAATGAACATATGGTTATTATCCTTTCTCTTATTGGTGTGACATATTATGTTGGTTGTTTTGTAAATACTGAACCACTCTTGCATCCCTGGAATAAATCCTACTTGATCATGGTGAATGATTCTTTTAATGCATTGTTGGATTCGGTTTGCTAATATTTTGTTGAGGATTTTTGCATCTATGTTCATCAGGGATATTGGCCTGCTGTAGTTCTTTTTCTTTGTGGTGTCTTTATCTGGTTTTAGTATCAGGGTAATCCTGGCCTCATAGAATGGATTAGGGAGTTTTCCTTCCTTTTCTATTTTTTGGAATAGTTTAAGAAGAATAGGTATTAACTCTTCTTCTTTTTTTTTTTTTTTAAGATTTTGTTTATTTGACAGAGAGAAACACAGTGAGAGAGGGAACACAAGCAGGGGGAGTGGGAGAGGGAGAAGCAGCTTCCTGCTGAGCAGGGAGCCCAATGCGGGGCTCGATCCCAGGACCCTGGGATCATGACCTGAGCCAAAGGCAGACACTTAACAGCTGAGCCACCCAGGCATCCTGATATTAACTCTTATTTTAATGTTTGGTAGAAATCCACCTGTGAAGGGGCCCCTGGGTGGCTCAGTCGGTTAAATGTCTGCCTTCGGCTTGGGTCATGATATCAGGGTCCTGGGATTAAGCCCCTTGTCGGGCTCTCTGCTCAATGGGGAGCCTGCTTCTCCTTCTCCCTCTACTCCTTCCCTCCTGCTCGTGCTCACTATCTCAAATAAATAAAAAAATATGAAAAAAAAAAATAAAGAAATCACCTGTGAAGCCATCTGGCCCTGGACTTTTGTTTGTTGGGAGATTTTTGATCACAGATTCAATTTCATTGCTGGTAATTTGTTCAAATTTTCTATTTTTTCCTGCTTTAGTTTTGGAAGGTATATGTTTCTAGGAATTTATCCATTTCTCCAGGTTGTCCAATCTGTTGGCATATAGGTTTTCTTTTTCTTTTCTTTCTTTTTTTTTTTTTTAAATATTTTAATTAATTAATTTATTTGAGAGAGAGAGAACACAACAGGAGGGGCAGAGGGAGAGGGAGAAGCAGACTCCCCACCGAGCAGGGAGCTTGACGTGGGACTCAATCCCAGGACCCTGAGACCATGACCTGAGCCGAAGGCAGACGCTTAACCAAGTGAGCCCCCCCAGATGCCCCAGCATTTGGTTTTCATAATATTCTGTTAAATTGTTTGGATTTCTGTGGTGTTGGCTATTAATTCTCCTCTTTCATTAGTGATTTTATTTATTTCTCTCTCTCTCTCTCTCTCATCTGGCTAGAGTTTTTCCTCAGTTTTGTTGATCTTTTCAAAGAACCAACTCCTGGTTTCATTGATCTGTTCTACTGTTTGTTTTTTTTAAGTTTCTATATCATTTATTTCTGTTCTAATCTTTATTATTTTCTTCCTTTTGCTGGGTTTGGGCTTCATTTGTTCTTCTTTTTCTAGCTCCTTTAGTTGTAAGTTTAGGTTGTTTGGGACTTTTCTTGCTTCTGGAGGTAGGCCTGCTCTAAACTTCCTTCTTAGAACTTCTCTTGCTGCATCCCAAAGCAGGGGATAATTTTTAAAAAATCGATCACACTTTTGATGTCGTATCTAAAAAATCTTTGCCCAACACGATTACACAGATTTTCTCCTATGTTTTGTTTTTAGAAGTTTTATGTTTTACATTTAGCTCTATGATTTATTTTGAGTAGTTTTTGTTTACAGCGTGAGGAATGGGTGGAGGTTCATTTTTGGGGGGCATATGTTTATCTAATTAAGGTCCCATTTGTTGAAAATACTGTTGTTTTTTTTTCTTCCGAGGAGTTAGCGTTGCATCTCTAGTGCAGATGCACTGGCCGTGTTTGTGCAGGGCTGTTCTGGACTCTGCTCCGTCCCGTCGCGCCTCTGTGGCCTCTGTGTCCCCCTATGCCACCACCACACTCTCGTCACTGTGGCTTAGAGCAAGTCCTGAAATCAGGCAGTCCGAGTCTCCCAACTTTGTTCTTCTGTTTCACAACTGCTTTGGATATTTTAGGTCCTTTGGGTATCTGTACGATTTCAGAGTTAGCTGTCGGTTTCCGCACACCTGACTGGTGGCAGTTCTGTGGGGCAGCTTGGTCCCAGGCGCTGCCGGCTGGAGTCTGAATTGGCACCAACGGGTTGAAAAAGAACTTAAGATGAGCGAACAAGAGAGAAGCAGCAAGAGTGCAGCGGGTGGGCCCTGCAGACATGCAGGCAGGAAGGGTCGTGGCCGGGGGCACGCTGGCACACACCCCGGAACCCACACTTGTGACTGGGGGCAGCGGGTCTGTGACGCGAGGCGTGTACATGAAGGCGGACACCACACAGCAGAGGAAACAGGAAGAGCAGCTCACACAGCGGCGCGAGCAACAGGACTCCTGGGAGAAATCCGCTGCTTCTGGATGTGTGTGGAAGGGATTCTGTCCAGGGAGGCAGGGAGTGATGGGAACGGTGCCAACAGGGGAGGCTGGGCCCACGGGGAATGCTCTTCCTTCTCCCGCCGGGGGCTCGGGGCTGCTGGGGGGAGCCGCCTGTTTCTTGGCTCTTCGGTAGACTGTCCTCACATGTTACATGCTGCTCGGTACTGGCTGAGCTGGGGGTGGCCCCAGGCGGCCCAGTGCCCCCATGACCCTCTCAGCGGAGCTTCCCGGTCTTCTTCCGTCCAGCTGCTGCACCCCTGGGGCAGGGCTCCTCAACTGTCCCAACAAGGACCCCCAAGCCTCCGGTGGCCAGCCTGGTGGTCCAGAGCTGGGAGTCCCTTTAAATACTGTGCTAGCTTAAATGTGACTGCAAATTTCAGTCCACCCCACAACCAGTATTTATTTGAATGTATATATTTCCTTATTTACTATCACTTAACATCAAAGTCCTAGAAAAACACGGCGTAGTCCAGCCCTCTGGCACCACGTGGGCTGGTCAGAGCCTCCCAGGAGGCAGCAGGTGTCTGCCCCCCAGTGCCCAGCTCACCTGTGGGGCGCCCCTTTTCCTGCTCCTTGCTGTCCCGCTTCCCAGACTCCTTCCGGCTTGGCATGTCTGTGGGAAAGGACTCGTTGCCCTCGATCTGTTGCTCAGAAATGCTGGTGATGATTTTATCGTACAGGCTTTTATCTTCATCTGTGAACACACTGCTCTAAAAAGGAACATGACACTCTTACTAGCAGCTTCCCATTTGCCTTCCCCACTCAGCTGCCCAGACGCCTGTTGCCAGGAGGGCCACGTGGAGAACCTGGCCATGATCCTCCTCCCCGGCTCCCTCTCTGTCCTGAGCCAGGCATGCAGACCACAGCAGCGGCTGGCCCAGGGGCTCAGGGCCCGACCGCCTGTCTCTAACCCAGGTTGGCTCCTTGCTTCTCCACGGGCACTGATGCTGGGTCTTGTGTCCTGCTATGTGCTGGGCTCCAGCATGCAGCCCATTCTGCGGTCTCCCTCCATGCTGACGCTCCATCCTCCTTTCCTGGGACACCTGGCTCCTCTCCCCATGTGGGGTCGGTGCCCCAGGTTCTGGCTCCACACTCTCCTGACTGCAGCTCAGCTCAGATGCCTGCAGGCGTGAGAGCTGACCCAGCCTGTGCCCCTCTCCTCACCCACCATTCTCCTGGCCCTGCTCTGGGTTCACACCCCAGCGCCTCCCACCCCAGGCCCTACCCCATTGGTCCCATCCCTCCCTGGGGGAGACACTTCCAGGGCCTTTGCTGAGACTCCTTCACGACTGGACTGAAACTGTAAAATAGCTCAGTGCTTCTTGTAGGAAGTTTCTCCCATGCCCATCTTTATCACTGACAGACCTCCCAGTGCCCATGGGTGGGACGGAAGTTGTCTGCACAGACGGGGTCCCACCTGTGTCACTCTGAGTTGTTCCCATTAACTTAGCAGTATGCCCACACAGTCTTCCTATGAAAAGACCTTTGGAAAAGGCGCAGGAATGCACAGGGTTTGCCTGTGGCTTTTGGGCTGTGTCCTCTTGGCTGGTCAGCCCCAAGCTGGGGCTTCACAGGTGCATCAGGAAAAAGATGGGTCCCCTGCGGCTCTCAGGCCTGGAGCTCTTGGCCACCGCCCTGTCAGTTGCCACCCACTCGAGAGGGGTCGGGGTCCTGTTGCCACTGCACCTGCCAGGTGGCCCCAGGTGGCCCCTTATGGAGCCCAATCTCTCCCACTTTGCTTGACGATGACTCCCAGCCCTGTGTTGAGACTCCTTCCTGTCACTGCTGGTTTTATACTCACAGGACTATCTTGGGTCGGAGGGGAGCATCACACCCACCCCTGGCTGAGAAGCCAGGGCTAATGATTGGGGGCAGGCAACACACTCACTATTTTCATGACCGACTGGGAGACGTCCATCTCACAGGACTCTGAGGCTGGAAGAAACTTGAACTTGGTGCCCAAGCCCCCGATGTTGGTCAGCGTGATGGTCCGGGACGTGGTCTCCCCCACCACATAGCTGCCAAAGTCGATGAGCTCCTTGTCAAGGGACAGCTGTCGAAAGACCCAGGGATGAGCCAGGGTGACTGCCAGGCAAGCTCTCCTCTCCCACCTGCTGCCCTGCAGCCCTGAGGGGACCCAGGAGCTCTGGCCCCTTCCTCTTGCGCGAGGCTGAGTCCTGTATCTGGTTCCAGCGGGGCCTTTGCACACCTCAGGGACACAGTCCACATCCTAGAAATCGTTGGTCTGTGGATTGATCGTGACAATTTGGGAGCTCCTGGGTTCCAATCTAAGTAGTTAGCTAAAAAGAAATGAGCGATCAAGCCATGAAAGGATGGAGAGATCTCAAGAGTACATTAGTAAGGGAAAGAACCTGAAAAGGGTACATGCGGGGGGGGCGCCTGGGTGGCTCAGTCGTTAAGCATCTGCCTTCAGCTCAGGTCATAATCCCAGGGTCCTGGGATCGAGCCCCGCATTGGGCTCCCTGCTCCGCGGGAAGCCTGCTTCTCCCTCTCCCACTCCCCCTGCTTGTGTTCCCTTTCTCGCTGTGTCTCTCTCTGTCAAGTAAATAAATAAAATCTTTAAAAAAAAAAAAAGGGTACATGCGGTGATTCCAACTATATGGCGTTCTGGAAAGTATGGCGTTCTGGAAAAGGCAAAATTAAGGAGACAGTAAAGAGATCAGTGGCTGCCAGCAGTTTGGGGAGAGGGAGGAAGGGGCAGGCGGCGCACCGGGGCTCCGGGGCAGGGAAACTACCGCGAGTGACTGCAGTGACGACGTGTCGTTAGAGCTTTGTCCAAAGCACAGAATGCACGGCCGCGCGCGACCCTCTCGCAGACCAGGCAGCCCACGACACCGCGACTTGTCCGCGCCGCGTGTCCAACGTCACAGCTCTGCAGCTGCCCCTCACGTTTGATGTGAGCCCAAAGCTGCTCTAAATAATAAAGTCTATTGAAAAATATATCATTTGGGAGTTTGAGGGAATCTCAGGATGGAACGCAGGATGTCATCAAACAGTCTCGCTTGGTCACAGTTTGAAGAAACAACCTGGCTAGAAAGTAGGGAGAAGGTGCTGAGCTGAGTCGCTCCAGGGAGGTGTGGAGTCCGGGGCTGAAGGCCACAGCACGGGGTGTGGAGTTCGGGGCCCAGCGTGGGGCTCTGCTGCTTCCGCAGGGCGGGCTTTGCCGGTCCACACTGCAGGGCGCTGGGGTGGGCCACGCTCTTGCTGTTGGACTGGAATTGGCGGGTGAGCAAGGGGAGGAGGCTGGACGGTCCACACGGCCCCGCGCTGGAGGTGGAGGTGCCGGTACAAAGGTCTGGGAGCACCGATATACCAACACAACAGCCACTCCTTCTGTGCAGATACCAGTTCCTTTCTTTTCTTTTTTAAAGACTGGTTTCTTTATTTGAGAGAGAGGGCGCACGCGCGTGCACATGAGCGGGGGAGGGGGCGCGGTGCGGGGCAGAGGAAGAGAGAGACTTAAGCAGATTCTGCGCTGAGCATGGAATCGGATGCGGGGCTCAATCTCAGGACCCTGAGATCACAACCTGAGCCGAAATCAAGAGTCGGAGGCTGAACCAACTGCGCCCCCAGGCGCCCCCCAGTTACTGGTTACTGACAGCACTCTCCAGCCCAAGGAACCGGGCTGTCTGGAGAAAGGACTCACTCTAGGCGGGGGCAGGAGGTGTGCAGATGAGCCTGGCGCGTTTTCTGGTATTAGAAAGAGAGGAAGCTCCGCAACAGAAGTTCTGAGCACAGTCATAACCGTATGGCAGAGGGAATGGGAGCCGGCTGAATTGCTCCCAGGAAAAATGTGAGCAGCAACAGAAGGTTGTATTTGACTCTAATTCACAGAGTGAAATAAAGAAATGATTTTATAAATTAATGAATGTGGAAGAGATAAATCTCCCTTACAGAAGCATTCCAAATAATTCACGCATCTGGCTATTCAATCCTCAGTGAGCCGGAGCGCGCCTCCCGCCCCTCCCGCCCCTCAAGTCCGCCCCCAGACCTCAGTATGGCAGGAGGGCGGCAGAGGAGAAACCTCACAGTGAGGAAACCTGGCGGCCACACCGAGTCAGGTGATGAAGGTCACGTCGCACCGTGAGGCACCATGGTAGTGCGTGCCCTCGACATGATGCGGCCAGAACCCTGCAGTCCTCCTCCCGAAACCCACCACCTCAGTCCACTCATGAGATAAACTTCAGACCAAATCCCAGCAGAGGAACATTCTACACAAAACTGATTGGCACTCCTCCAAATGGTCAAGGTCATCAAAAAAGAGGAAGTCTCAAAAACTGTCACAGCCGGAGAAAGGGGACCCCCCCCTACACTGTCAGTGGGAATGCAAGCTGGTACAGCCACTCTGGAAAACAGTATGGAGATTCCTCAAAAAGTTGAAAATAGAGCTACCACACAATCCAGCAATTGCTCTCCTGGGTATTTACCCCAAAGACACAGATGTAGTGAAAAAAAGGGCCATATGCACCCCAATGTTCATAGCAGCAATGTCCACAAAACCCAAACTATGGAAAGAGCCCAGATGTCCATTGACAGATGAATGGATAAAGAAGATGTGGTATATATATATAATGGAATATTATGCAGCCATCAAAAAATGAAGTCTTGTCATTTGCAACGACGTGGATGGAACCTGAGGGAAATAAGTCAATCAGAGAAAGACAATTATCATATGATCTCACTGATATGTGGAATTTGAGAAACAAGGCAGAGAATCACAGGGGAAGGGAGGAAAAAATGAAACAAAACGAAACCAGAGAGGGAGACAAATGATAAGAGACTGTTAATCTCAGGAAAGAAACTGAGGGTCGCTGGAGTGGGGGGTGGGGTGGGAGGGATGGGGTGGCTGGGTGATAGACACTGGGGAGGGTATGTGCTATGGTGAGCACTGTGAATTGTGCAAGACTGATGAATCACAGACCTGTACCTCTGAAACACATAATGCAATATATGTTAAGAAAAAAAAAAAGAAACTGTCATATTAACTAACATAAGATGTTAATAGGGGAACCTGGCTGTGGGGTTAGCTAGGATTGCATTTTTTCTGTAATGCTAAAACTATTCTAAAAAACAAAGTCATTTAAGAAAAAGCCGAGCTAACATCCCCCTCGCTGGGGAGTCAGGAAGATCGAGAGGACACGCTCACGCTCAGAGGGTCTGGCAAGGCGGCCGCCATCCCAAAAGATACCAGTGTGCTGTACGCCCTTCCTTGCGGGGGGCGGGGGGGAGTGCGTCCTCCAGGGCACGCCCCCCCCTCGCCCTCATGGCCCGTTGGCAACTGGCCATCTGGGCGCCGGCTAAGAATGTCGTGTGCAGGCTGCCTCCCCGTGAGGCTTTTCTGGGCCCCAAGTTTGGAAGCCCAGGGGCCCCTCTCTCCTCTGTGCCCCTGCAGGACAGAAGCTGCTGAGGGAGACAGAACAGCCTGTGTGTGTATGTGGGTGTGCAGTGTGTGTGTGTGTTTTCGGGGGTGTGTGAGTACGAATGTGTGTGTATTCATGTGTGGCCGCCAATGGTGGGGTGTGTGGAATGTGTGGGTGTGCGTGTATGGAGTGGGGGGGGCAGGTGACCTGTCTCCTGGTTATAGGTCACCAGACTTCCGGAGGTCACATCTGGACAGGATGCAGGGGGCCCTCCCCAAGCATGCTGAGCTGGAGGCAGGGCCTGGGTGGGCCTGGGTTGCTGCCCTGGGCAGGGGCTGTGTGTTCTGAGTGTGGGGGTGATAGAAGGTCACGCATGAAACCGGGTGGCTGGAGGGCTGCCCTGCGGGGCCCCCCGTGTGCCCCTCTAGCCGTTCTCCCTTCTTCCTGTTCATGACAGGGCCGCTGAGCTTCAGCGGGACACGGAGCTGCCCGGTAAAGACTCTACTGCCCCGTCTACCCTGCAGCCAGGGGTCATCACGTGACCGTCACCTCCGGCTCACGCGGGTGACCTCGCCTTCCCCCTCCCTCCGACTGGGAAGGGACAAGTCTTGGAAGCCATCTGGGAGGGTGGCAGGGGCAGCCCACCGGCCAGACCCTCACCTCTGGGGCAGAAACAAGCCCCTGCTCAGCGAGGCCACAGTGTTGGGTATGTTCGTCACAGCAGCTCCCCCTGATGACTCCCTGAGCAAAGTGCCGAAGAGCCCAGAGGACACGAGGACCCTGTGCTGGGCATACCTGCCTGGGGGATGCTGGCCATCTATGTACTTGGCGACGGACTGGGCCAGCAGACGACAGGCTTCCTGCTGTCCGGCCTTTCTCCAGGGCCGAGTCCGGGGTCTGAAGCTCGACTCCACCACGTGTCGCTCTTTCTGGGGGCCCGTTCCCCAGCAGATAGTGGGCCCCGTGCCGTGGGCCACTCTGAGGAGAAGGCGGTATCCACACAGCATGGGGGCGGCTTGCCAGCCCGGGAACGGTGGTTGTCCTGGAGGCAGGAGGCGCCGGCAAACGTGGGCTCTCCACGGCCTCGGCGAGGCTCAGCAGCCTCCAGCGCAGCTGCCATGGCCCGGGGCCACAGCGCACAGGCTGTGTGTGAACCCACGCAGGGGCCCAGGGCGGCCACGGCCACGGCGGGGTAGTGTGAGTGCCAAGAATGGAGACTAAACGATCAAAACATGGAATACGCAAAACCCATGAATCCACGAGGAAACAGGAAGAAAGAGAAGCTAATTGCCACCATCGCAAGTGATAATTGTCCCAACTCCTCCTTACACTAAAGACCAGTAAACAAGTGAAAACACAGAGAAAGCAACAACTTAGTGCAGAAAACAGCACTATCGGCCTTCCCGGTGGGACGGGAGGCCCAGGGGCTGACACCCGGGAAACTCGGTTGCCCCAGGAGGCTCGTCCGGCCTAAGGAAGGGGCTGCTTCAGGCAGGAGGCATTGCTAAAACCGTGAGGTGATGGCCACGCTCGCTAGGGAGGTGGCAGTTGGTGCCATGCTGGGGTTCCAGACACGGTGTGGGCTGTTGCCACATTACCAGGAGACTGGTCTTGGTGTCAGCCCCAGTGGCAGGCGGGAGAAAGACTCAGGGGACTCAGAGATATGACAACGGGGTGTCAAGTCTGGAGGAAAGCAAGCAGAGCCTAGGGGACCGTGGGCGGGCCACCACCAGTGGACCAGCATCTGCATCATGGGGGCCCGGCAGTGGGAGACGAGGAATATGGCCCGAGACTCCCAAGCTGGATGAAAGATGTGAATATAAACGTCAAAGCAGCTCTCCGAACTCGGAGTAAGATGAACCCAAAGAGACCCACTCAGGGACACACTATAATCAGACCTTTGAGACAGAGGGGGAGAGAGGTGACCCAGTGCACACGAGGCCACAGCAAGATTGTCAGGAGATTTCAGAGACTCCGGAGGCCAGAGGGCAGTGGGCTGACATGTACAAAAGGCCAAAAGGGAAAAACTGTCAACGAAAAGCCCTTCTCCAGCAAAACTGTCTTTCCAAAGTGAGAGAAACCAGGACATTCCCAGATGAACAAAAGCCGAGGGCCTTGCAGGAAATGTGCCCGGAGCCCGGAGGCCAAACGGAGACCCGGGGACTTGTCACTGGAAGCCACCAGGAGAAATACAGCCTCAGTAAAGGTGAGCACACGGACAACATAAAATCTAGTGTTCTTGTCAAGGTGTTTTAAGTGTGGGTTTTATTCTCTACACGATTTAAGAGACTAATGCTTTTTTTTTTTTAAGCAGGTATTAGTCTAAGAGCTAATGTTATTGTCACTTTGGTTTGTAATCCAGGTTTTGTTTGCATTTCAAACATTATGAGTTTGTGGTTTTGGACACACAGTCACAGAGAAGTAATTCTGTGACATTAACACCCGAAAGGGGTGGGGGCCGAGCTGTAAGGAGCAGATCGTCTATACACTACTGAACTGAAGCCGGTGGAAGTTTTCTAAAGGGGGGGGGTGTTGAGTGTTATGATGTTGCTGGTTTACTGGAAGTGGATCAGCAGAACAGACAGACAGATGGACAGACCAAGCAAATGTGGCAAACGTCGACAGGGATGGGATCCAGACAGCACACAGATGTTCAGTGCTTTTTTTCCTGCTTTTCCTTATGTTCGAAATTTTTCTTAATTAAAAAAAGGATCAGCGGTGACTACACGTATCACAATGAGCACTGAGTAGGGTATGGAACTGCCGAATCAATGTTGTACACCTGAAACTAATAGAACATTGTATGTCAACTATACTTCACTAATAAATATTAAAAAATAAATTAAAAGGTTTTAAAAAGAATCAGTTCCGCATAGCAAAGGCAGACAAGGTGAAAAGGCAGCCTACAGAATGGGAGAAAATATTTGCCATCCAAAATACATAAAGAACTCCTATAACTCAATAGCGAAAAAACAAACAGTTTGATTAAAATTGGGAAGGGGACCTGAAAGGACATTTTCTTTTTTTAAATAGAGAATAAAATTAAGGCAGTTCTTATTGACGGGGTGATCAGGTGGGCAATCCCCAGGGGTACTACACAGCTCTTCTCCACACCCCTAAACACACACTCTTCTAAAGGAGACATGCGGACGGCCAGCAGGCACCTGGAAATCACTCCATGTTGCTCATCATCAGGGAAACACAAGTCAACCCACAATGAGGTGTCACCTCACAGCTGTCAGAAAAGCTAGAATCAGAAACACTAGAAACAACAGGTGTTGGTGAGGACATGGAGAAAGGAGAACCAAGCTGGTGCAGCCAGGCTGGAGAACAGTGTGGAGTTTCCTCAAAAAGTTAAAAATAGACCTACCCTGCGATCAGCAATTTCACTTCCGGCAATACGCCCAAGGAAATGAAACCACTAACTCAAAAAGACATCTGCACCCCCATGTTCACAGCAATATTATTTCCAATAACCAACCAGTGGGTTCAGCCTAAGTGTCTGTCAATGGATGATCAGATAAAGAAGGTGGGGCATACATACAGTGGAATAAAAAAGAAGGAAATCTTGCCATTTAGAACAGCATGGAAGGGCCTTGAGGGCACTGTGTTAAGTAAGATAAGCCTGCCAGAGAAAGACAAATACTGTGTGACCTCACTTACGTGTGGAATCTAAAAAACCCAAGCTCATAGACATGGGCAGCAGAGTGATGGTTGCAGGAGGCGGGGGCAGGCAAAATGGGGGGAAGGTGGTCCAAAGGTGCAAATTTCAGCTGTCAGGCCTGGGGATGTGACACCCAGCATGGTGACTATAGTTTAAAAGGGAAATCGAGGGGACATCACAGAGCTGCCGAGGGGACCAGCATCTCCTGAGATGAGCCCGAAGGTCTCCCGCAGTCTGGGCTCTGCGTGGTGCAGGACTTGGCCCTGGCTTCCCAGCGTCAATGTGAGTGCTCACCTTCCCAGAACAGTCTGCGAACTCTCACCTGCCCAGGGCTCGGCCCCAGCCTCACCTGAGCGGCGTGGGACCGAGGCCGGACCCAGGACGCGCTGCGTAGGCGCCACCAGGACCTCCCTAGAGGTGCCGGCTCGGGCGTCTCTGGACTTACTGCACATTTCTTCGTGGAGCACTTCAGCGGAACAGAAAATCCACCCGTCTGAGTCATAAATGAGACGTTTCCTTCCAGATCTTTGTTTATCTAAAAAATAAAACACCCCAACCGCCATAACGTTTGTAACGTTACCACGGGCTGGACCTGGGCATGGCGGCGGCTGGGAGGAGCCTCGCACTGGCCAGGGCCTGTTAGAACATTCTAACATGCCCCATTTCGACCCAAGAACACCACCAGATCACACCTGCTGGCTAGCAAACCATCAGGGCAGCCTTGTAGTTCTTCCCAGCGTCAGGAACATGCCGAATATGTTTGGAAACAGAACAGGGGCCTGTGACCCCTACTGAGGCCCGTGTGTCATTCCTCCATCAGCACATCAGTGTCTGCAGGGCCCGAAAAGGAGACCGGTTCCACCCACCACCCACTCACGATGGAGGGAAGTCCCTTTACATGATCTGGTTTCGGAACAGACACTCACCATGGGCTTGAAGGTGACAAGTACTTTGCAGGACATCCCGGCTGACATGGGCCCAGGGGGATCCAAGCTGTAGGCACAACCGTCCATGGGATACGTGATCAGATCGACAGGGAAGGCACAGCGGGGCTGGAATCAACTGTATGGCAGCCACGGCCCAGAGCAGGCACTGAGCGGGCCTTCTGGACCCTGTCCTGCCCATCCTGGGCGTCGTGCCCCAGGTCCCAGGTCCCAGGAAACATTCAGGTGACATCTGAATGTGTGCAGAGTGAATGAGGGGCCAGGTGCCATGGGGTGAGCAGTGACCAGGGTCCTGGAGGACACGCATGTACCTGCCTGGACCAAGGGCAGGGTTTCAACACCAGTGTGAGGGGTTGTGAGCCCCATAGGGGGCCCTGACCCTGCACACAGCTGGGACCCTCTGAACCCCACTTTCAGGGAAAGATCCGGGGAAAGATGCCCAGCTCCACAGGGAGATTCGAGGGCATCTGGCTTGTCTTGGTCTGGATCCTGAGTGAGGAAAATAAGCTCCCAGAGAATTTCTAATGTGGGATGTATTTTCACAAGGTTGGATTTTACCTAAGGTGCTTGGATTAGAAAGACACAAGCTAAAATTTAATAGAATTGTTTTCCCCTTGGCTGGCAATGACCTCACGGCACCAGGCAGAAGCAAATTAAAAACTTCTCTGGTTGTGAGGGAAGGTTCTTGATGCCACATCACAGACACCCTGGGAGGCAGAGTCCCACTGGTGAGAAGACAGGATTCCCTTGTTGGAAAGGAGGCGTGGATGCCAACAACACGTGCAGACAGAAGGCCAAACTCCAAGGGCCTCGGATAAGAGAACGATTGATGGCGACTTTAAGAGATGTAATGTTAGGGCGCCTGGGTGGCTCAGTTGGTTGAGCTACTGCCTTCGGCTCAGGTCATGATCCTGGAGTCCCGGGATCGAGTCCCGCATTGGGCTCCCTGCTCGGCAGGGAGTCTGCTTCTCCCTCTGACCCTTCCCCCTCTCATGCTCTATCTCATTCTCTCTCAAATGAATAAATAAAATTTTAAAAAAAAAAAAAAAAGAGATGTAATGTTAAAATGATCAAGGACAGAAATAGAGAATCACAGACATGAGAAAGGAACTGGTCGCCATCGCGAAGTTGCTGCTGGCCTGAGGCAGGATGCAGGGCTTCTGGAAATGAGAAGTATGGCCCTGAAACAAGAGACTCGGTGACAATTTCAACAGTCAGTCAGACACAGAGAGGAGGACGGACTGAGTGTCAGACTCGAGAACACACCTGGACACTCAGCTGGAGAGACGGCCACAGCTGTTCAGACGTCTGGGTCCTCAGTGAGCCCTAACGCGTCTAAGAAAATCAGCCCACAGCTGACGCACTGTGGAGGAGCTGCAGGACCCCGGAAACGGGGAAGTGTCAAGGCGACCAGAGGGAAGCCAGACAACCCACCAAGGGCTGTACCTTCGGGCTGAAAGGCAACTTGGCAGCAGAAGACATAGGGGGGGATAACCTCAGTGCGGGGATCCCAGCTCCAGCCCCAGTGGGGAGTGCTTTGGGTGCCAAGGGAACAGACACCCTGAGTCTGGGCCCCTGAGGCCCCCCAGAGACCCGCAGACCAGCATGAAGAACAAGTAGACCACAGGAATCCTGCACCTCCGGCATGACCACAGGACAGAGTAGTGGTGCTAAGCAGTGATTTCCAGCCGTGCTCTGCCCACGCAAGCCTCTGCAGATAGCCGAAGGGTCCAGAACACTGCAGGCATGGGAACGCAGGTCCCATGTCTAACCTACAGCAGCCCCCGGAAGAGAACAGCGTGTCCTGCGTGGGAGAAGCTGACCAGGGCCCAGGTCGGTGAGCACGGATCGCAGGGACAGGTTGTGGGGATGGGCAGTGGGACCTGCGCTCCAGCCAGGAGTCCTAGAGCCGTCTGGGGTCATCATGGGCCTCCAAACACATCAACTAAAAACTGGCAGAAACCAGGAAGAAGCTTTCTTAAAACCAAAGGCAAAATGCTAAGGAGCAGAAGCAGAGAGACAATGAAGCAGACACAAGCAGGTCAGCATGAGAAAAATGAGGGAAAAAAATAAAGCAGGGAAGAAGCAGGCGTTAAAGGGCACCAGATAGACGTGAAAGAAGATCCAACTCGCGTACCAGTGGGGTCGTAGAAGGAGGACACAGAAGCACGGTGACAGAGGGGACATGCAGACAGCTGGACGGACAAGTCCCTGTCTTTAACCTTCACACAGAAAAGGCCCAACAACTGCTGGGGACATCTTCCCCAGAGAGGGCAGCACCAGAACATGGACAGGGACGGAAATGATCATGGAGACCGGGGCTGGCCTCAGACAACATCACCCAAGCAGGCATACAGAGCCGTCTCCCAGCAGAACACTTTGCACTGGGACCACGTGCCGCGCGGGCGTGAGGGCTGTGGATGGCGGTCTGACACCCGGGGGCCTGTGTCCCCCGGCCCCAGTGCCCCCAGCCCCCGTGCCCCCCGGTTCCCGCACTCCCCGGCCCGTGTCCCACAGTTCATGCCCCCCAGCCCCTACCCCCTGGCCCCCATGCCCCCCGGCCTCTCACTCGATGTGGATGAAGTCCCGGAGATGATCCTCCACGCCCACCAGCTTGCAATAGTTAATGGTGTAGGTGGTGTTTATCAACGTGATCTTTTTCTTGTACACTTTGCCAATATCAAAATCCTGGAAAAATCAGAGAAGTTATTCCAAGCCTGTCGGAGGGAAGCCGCCTGCGAGCATGCGCCGGCAGGCTCTCCTCATGTGCCCCCCATGCCCAGCGTGCTGAGGACATGACCAAGGTCTCGGAGACGAGCACGAGGAGCGTTAGGAGACCAGGAGCAATTCCCAAGGTTTCCCAACTTAGGAAGGGCCCCTCTGGGGACGCACGAAGAGCAGAGAGAGCGGGAGCAGGAAATGGCTTCCTGGGGACCTCGGCCAGCGTGGGGCCCAGGGCTGGCGCCCAACTCTGTCTGACGGACTCAGGACCGCATGTGCGGTCCTCTCCTCTCCTGCAGAGTCTGGTGACTGTGACGACGCGTGAGCACTGACCTCCTCACTGTCCCTTCCCAGGGAGGCTGTCCCCTGGGACGAGGGCCCTCCTGGGGCTGGTGTCTGACCCCCCACAACACCCTCAGCACCAGGGGAGGCCGGTAGGGCCGTGTCCCTCCTGTGTGCCTGGGTGGGCTCTCGGGGCTCACCTTGAAGTGGATGAGCTTGGGCTTGCTATTGAAGGGGTGACCTTTGAACTCGCACCCGGACACCACCTGCTTGTGGGTCACTCTGCAGCGCACCTGCTCCATGGTGCGGGCCAGGATGTCCTTGTCCATCTTTGTCCCACCCACGGGCTTCCGGTCCACCTCCTCTTTGGGCACCTGAGGTTCCAGAGACACAGCGGCCGACACTCAAGGGCAAGCCCAGGCCCAGCGAGACGCTCTGCTCCCCGTGGCCAAGGGCAGCTTGGGGGCCACAGGAGTTAGCGGCCCAGAGCCAGGGCCCAGAGCAGCCAGGGCAGGGGACAGCCCGCACCATGTGGCAGCCCACTTAGAGAGAGCCCCGGCAGCAGCGAGGCGGACGGTCCTTACTTCAGAGAGGAAGGAAAGATGAGAAGAGTAGACACGTCCAGGGTCCCAGCAGATTTCTGGGAAGTAATGGCAGAGCGGGTTTTCTAGATTTTTGAATAGTTCACTTTATCTGTTTTTATTTATTTATTTATTTTTATTTTTTTGGCAGGGGAGGGGCAGAGGGAGAGAGAATCTTTTTATTTTTTTTAAGATCTTATTTATTGGAGAGAGAGAGAGAGAGAGAGCACAAGCAGGGGGAGTGGCAGGCAGAGGGAGAGGGAGAAGCAGACTCCCCACTGAGCAGGGAGCCCAATGCGGGGCTCGATCCCAGGACCCTGGGACCATGACCTGAGCCGAAGGCAGACACTTAACGACTGAGCCACCCAGGCGCCCCGGGAGAGAGAGAATCTTAAGCAGGCTCTGCGCTGGGCGTGGGGCACCTCAGTGCTCAGTTGGTTGAACGTCTGACTCTTGATTTTGGCTCAGGTCATGAACTTGGGGTTAAGAGATCAAGCCTCAGGGGGCGCCTGGGTGGCTCAGTCCGTTAAGCGGCTGCTTTCAGCTCAGGTCATGATCCTGGGGTCTTGGGATCGAGCCCCACATCTGGCTCCCTGCTCAGTGGAGAGCCTGCTTCTCCCTCTCCATCTGCCTGTCACTCTGCCTACTTGTGCTCTCTCTCTGTCAAATAAATAAATAAAATTTAAAAAAAAAAAGAGATCAAGCCTCAGGTTGGGCTCTGTGCTCAGTGGGGAGTCTGCTTGTCCCTCTGCCCCTCCCCCCTGTGCTCTCTCTTTCTCTCTCTCAAATAAATAAATAAATCTTAAAAAAAATAAAATAAAGAGCTAAAGTCTCAGTAGCAACAGAGCAAAATAAAAAGAGATGCTTAACTGACTGAGCCACCAAGACGTCCCAGTTTCCTAGATTTTTAAGTCAGGCCAAGAGGAAGGTTTTGAAACGTGCAACAGGAAACAATGTTTCCTCAAGCGGCACAAATAACAGTGTCTCCCTGAGTGACGTTGAGTAACCGGGCATGGGGCTCTCTCTGCGGCCTTGGCTCTAGGCCAGCAGGGCGGGCGTTTCGACCTCGCGGACCTGGAAGCAGGAATCACTCACCTGGTACGGCTTATAGTCTTCCTTCCAGAGCCCGGGGATCTCGGGCTCGGCCAGCGTGTCATCTTCCCAGCTGGTGTTTCCGGGGTCCCCCTGGACAGACTCACTGGAAATGGCTTCCAGTAACTGAGGGGTTTTGGGGTGTGCGGCCCCGTCGCTGTCCTGCCGTTGAGGAAAGGAATTCAGTAGCTAATTACAGAAAACAGGGACTCTACAGATCAGCAAGAAGAAAATAACCCTCATCGTGAGCCCCTTGGGCACATCTTTTTCTCTTTACCTGAGAACCAGAACACAGTCTCTTTTGTAACTTTACCCATTTAAAATATAAGTATCTTTATACGGCATTAAATTTTTCTCCAACATCCACAAAAGAATCCGCAAGACACTGATTTATGGACCTACTGGAACCCTTTTCACCGACCCTTAGTTTTGCATTATTTCTAATTTTTGCGTCTAATTTTTGCCCTTCATGGTTACCACCCGAGGATGCCTGGTCCTGGAATTAGGCTTCAGTGGAGCCGGGCTGCAGCCTCCCTCCAGGGCACCTAGTGTGGAGGGTCAGGGAAGGCTCCTGGGGCAGCTGGCTGGAGACTCAGCCCAGGGGGCCGGGGAGGAAGGCAGGTGTGAAGGCCCAGAGGTATGAGCCAGCTCAGTGTGGGGGCGGGGCTGAAGCAGGAAAAGACTGAAAACCACCTCAGGACAGAGTGAAGGCCCCACAGAGGCCAGAGGCCGAGGGCAGAGGCCTGAGAGGCTTTTTAGGGCCGCGGATTTGTTGGAGCCAGTGACCTGGACCTTCAGGTTTTGGGGTGCACAAGGGCAGAAGTGCTGCGCTGGGCTCAGGAGGGGGTCCTGATGTCCCTACCCCACACCCCCCGAGACAGGTAAACAGGTCACCTAACTGGGTGGCTGGCACGGAGTTGGCCCTTGGTAGGGATGAAGACGTGAATGGATGAGGGAATGCACAAGAGGGAAGATGCTGGTGTCTGGGGGCACAAATGGCCCTTGGCCCGGGACTGGCCTTTGGTCATTGGCCTGTCTCGGTTATGTAGGGACAGGTCAGGCGGCCCGAGCCAACCTTGTTGCGGGCGACACCGTGGCCACGGGCTTCCCCACCTGCAGTGCTATCCCCAGGGGGTGGCTCCCATGGTGGGTGAGGCACCAGAGACCTGGGCCTGTCCTTGTACCTGTGCTGTCACCCGGGGAAGGACAGCTCTCTGGTGGCCTGCCACCCCACCCGCTGCGGAGAGGACATGCCCGCCCCGCGTTGGGGCCTCCCAGCAAAAGGGCAGCCCAGGAAAAACATGCCGAGAAGAGGAAAAGGAGACATCCTGGTGCAGGACACGCAGTTTCTTCTGTTGGATCTTAGCTGGAGGCGTTTATACAATGACTCAAGGTCCCGGGCCCTCGGGTCATCCGCCTGCTTCCCTGGAGGTGCGCGCATTTGATGGGCAAGGGCACCCGGCTCACCAGCAGGTGATAGGAAAGCACTGTGTCCCTCCCTTCACAGATGTCTGTGACATAGCTCCACGTCTTATCCCTCAGAGTCAGCCGGTCCGTGGCTTTGGCAGGGGAAGACTGTTTCTTCTTCCTGTTCTCTTCCTCAGCCTCCTCTTTCAAAATCCGACTTACGATCTCCTGCTTTCTGAGCTTCTGCTCCTCCTCAAAGGTGCTGTGGGAAAACACCATGTGGGCCCAGAGGAGGCAAGATTCGAGCTGCCTCCGGGGGCCCAGGCGGCCCGGGCTCAGCTCAGCAGCCCTCACGAGCCCCTTCCGCAGCAGCGCAGGTCCAGCACCTCCGGGCGCAGGGTTGCAAGGAGCTGGCCCTTGCACAAGCCCCCTGGCTGCTGAGGGAGCAGATGAGGCCAGGATGGCCACCAGGCCGGAGGCCCAGGACTTGGTCCTGCCTGGCCCAGGCCCAGGCCCCACAATAAACCTTGACCCCACAGGAGCTGCCCCTTCCTCCTGGCTTCCAGGCCGGCAGCTGGGGCACTCCCGCTGAGGCACGAGCCAACGCCACCCTCACTCATCCCAGCTGCTTCTCCCTGGCTCTTCCTGTGTGCCAGGACTGCCAGACTAGGGGGCTCGGGGGAGCTGCCACTGGGAGCCCCTAGCAGGGTGGGGAGATGGCAGAGCTCCTGTGGTGACCCTCAGGGCACAGTGACTCCCAGACGGGAGACGCCGTCCCCAGAGAGACGACCGGGAGGCCACCCCTGGGTAGACCCTAACAGTGACCGTGGTTGGGGGCGGGGGAGCTGGGAGTGCAGGAGGCGGGCAGGGGCAGAACACTGACCTTGGGATCTTGGGAAGCCCACTCCTGCAGGGGGCTTGGGGGCGGGAGGCAGGGCGGGGTACAGCCTGGGGGGCGAGGCATAGGGGCCCTGCTGGGTGGAGGGGGGGTCTCAGGGTGAAGGACGGGGATGCAGGCCACACTGAGGAGGCAGCACGGAGCGCCCGTTTGGAGGAAATCAGAAAGTGGAGCCCCCAAGGGTGAGCTGCCCACAGCCCCCCAGAGGAGGGTCCCGGATTGCCCAGAGACAGAGAGAGTGAGCCATATTGCGGCCTTGGCGCAGCTCTTGAGAAACCGGGAAACCAGGCCAGGAGCCCAAGTGGGGCCGCGCTAGGGGTGATAGGGCTGGAAGGGTCTGTGTTCTGAGGCCCAGGGGAGGCCCCACCTGCTGGGGTCTGGATAGCAGCGTGCGGAGGGAGGGCTGGAGCCCCCATCTGAGGGGAAGCCCAGGGAGGGAAGCAGCTTGGCTAACTGTGATGGACACGCCTCCCACGGCCCAGGGGCACGTGCCCTGGAGTGCCACCTCGCACTCACTGTTTCTGGGCGTCCAGCTCCTGGCACCGGCGTTGATGGAAAAGGTGCTTGAAGGCGTCCCCACCTTGGGCCAGAATCATCTCCTTCTCGGCTTGGGCCTTCTGCTCGGCCAGCTCTGCCTTGGCCTGGCCCCATGCTTGAAATTTCCGGAGCGTTTCCTTGGGAACAGAGAGCAGGCTTATAGAACTGACAGATGCATGTGCACACACACCGGAACTTTCTATTGCACGGGTGAGGTTAAGTTAGCTCTGAGATGCCTGAATAGATGTTGCAGAGCCCTACTCCCTCACCTGGCCCGCCCACCTACTGACCAACCTCCTCAAGATCCTCAGGGGCTTCCCGCAACCTGAGTGCACTGTCTTCCGCTGTTCCGCAGGACTGGCCCCTGGCCTCTGCCCCCCGGCTGTTTCTTGGCCACGCTGGGCTTCGCTCCAAGAGGCCTGCTCTCTCTTGCCTCCGAGCCTTTGCAGATGCTGATCCCCTTCTTCCCTCTCTACTTTCCAGGCCTAACTGCCACACCCCAGGCCCCAGGGGGGTGTCACTTCCTCCAGCAAGATCCTGGGCCCCCGCACATGGCCTCACCAAGCTCTGGTCCTCCTGGAGGCTTGTCATCGCGCCTCCCATGCACCAGGCCCCATGAGGACAGGTCTGTGCACTTTCTTCCTGCCCGGCTAGGCACCTGGCTAGGGCCAGCACAGACCCGGGGGCAACAGATCCTGGGGGGAGTGACTGAGTGGTGAGTCGGAGGACACGAGACTGCCATCCAGAGGAGCAGGGATTCAGGAGGACAGGACAGGGCGGGCCAAGCGGTGTGCAGGTGTGGACCCCTGCGTGGAAGGACACACGCCCGCCTGGACAGGCTCATGGAGCGCTGCGCGGGGCCCTGAGGGTGTCGGGAGGCTCTCACACTGTCGCTCCTGGATTGCAGTGCATCCCGCGGGCCAGGGCCCATGACGGCTGGGAGCCGGGGCACCTACCCTGTTGGCAGTGATGCTGCTCTTCAGAGCCAGCACGGCGTCCATGCGCCTCTTCATGTGCGCCCGGGACTTCCTCTCCTCCTTCCTCTCCTGCTCTCGAATTCTGGAGAACGGTGCATTTTTCACCAGAAGTGCCAAGGTCATATCGATGCGCAAGTACAGAACCAGAAGGAGCCTGGGGGTTGGTCATGTCCACCAAGGAAATAATGGAATGTGGTGGCATGAGAGGTACATGCAAAGTGCTGTTTGAACCTCTGATACGAGGAAACATTGAAACACGTTTCCCTGGACTGGAGGTTCCTGCCATCTTATGGTAGGTCCTCTCCTGAAAATAAGCAGGCAATCGGCTCAAAACTAAAAATAGTTTTATTATTTTTTGACAGTAAGGTGATGATTTAATAATAAAATTGGGGAATTTTAAAACAAAAACAAAGGATCCATTCTTACATTTCTTCTCTGGGGAATCAATGGGAAGAGAGTCTGAGAACGCTACCTTCTCAGGGAGGCCTTCAGGAACCTCACTGCGATCTTGTGATTCCTCTGGGCGTCTTCCACCAGCTTCTGGTGCCTGAGCCCGTGCTCCCTCTGGAGGTATATGGACTTCCTGCAGTGGGAACAGAAGCGCATGAGCACTGGGGGCCACGCCCACCTGGGGAACAGGTGTCCCTAAGAGCCAGGCTGGCGGCACCTGTGTCCTTGTGCTGAGGGCGAGGGCCAGGAGGGGGACATGGGGCGGAGCGGGCACCATGGGCAGGACGAGGACCAAGCTGGTGGGGAGGGGCAGGTGAGGACCCCATGAGTGACCAGGGACTTGGCTCCCATGGAAGGAGCAGAGAAACCTGGCAATGGATTGGCTAGGGTGGGGAGGAGAAGAGTAGCGAGGACCTCAGGTAAGGACTGAGAGGTAAGGAGATGGGGACTACACCAGGGGGGCGGGAGTGGTGCTCCCTTCACAGTGGGGTGGTGCTCAGGAGCCTGGCCCAACAGGAGGCCCCTGGACGGGGGCCGCACCCGGGGACGTGCGGGGACTGAGCCCCTGGGAGCAGCCAGAGCAGGAATGGGAAGGAAAAGTGACTTAAGGTCGGGGTGGGGGGGCATGGGGCAGGGGCGGGGCTCAGGCAGGACCACAGCCGAGCTGGCTCTGGAGAAGCTCTGGAGAGCCCCTCTCCCCCCTGCAGCAGGTCCTCACCACCTACCTGACCCTCAGCAGCCGGTTCCGCTCAGCCTTCTCCAAGGCCTCCTCCTCCTTGCGGAGCTGCTTGGCCGCCTGCTCCTGGAGGCGCTTCCTGCCAGCCACCTCCTCCTCCTGGGCAGACTTTGGGCCGTCCTCGAGCTGTCCCTCCTGGATTGCAATGTGCCACATGGTGCTCCTTCAAACAAGAGGCACTTCTGTTTCTGTCAGTGAAGGTGTTGGAGACCTGGGGCCGTACCCAGGCGTAGTGTCCACGCCAGGGGTCTGGGAGTGCCTGGACATCCAGTTTTGACAAACACCACGGAAGGTCATCTCGTCCTCCTGGGAGCCCTCTGGGCCTGCAGTGCTGGAGAGGGAGGCTCCCCATTCACCTCAGCACCAGCGGCCCCTGCCCTACTTGAACCTGGATCTCCACTTCCTGAGTGTCCGTGGGCATTTACCTGCACCTGCCCCCTCCGGGCCTGAGGACAGGCATGGCACTCTGAAATAGGCCAGGGACACAGGTGGGAGATGCTGCCTTTGAAGGGGGCTCCCTGTGGCTCTGGGACAGAGACAGGGCCAGGGGCAGCGCGGGGCATGGAGGGGAGGAGGGCTGGTGCCGTAACGGGTAGCGGGTCGGGGTTCTGGGTATGGATGGGCAGCAGGGATGTTCGGCTGATTGATTATAGGGTCCCTAGGCCTGAAAAAAGATAGAGGTTTTACTAAGGTCTCACTTTCTCTGAATAACCAGTGTGGTCAGTCAGAGAGAGGTGACCGTGGAAAGAAGGTCAGAGGGCCAGACAGGCTGCTGGAGGATGGGGAGGCACACAGACTCGCCCCTCTGGGGCTGAGGAGGCCTCAACTCCCGCTGAGCACCCAGTCCACCCGCAGCAGAGAGCAGGCCAGGCCCCATCTGGTACACGCCCTTCAGGCCCCAGATGGTCTTGCACCAGGCCGGGCACGGCGATTTGTGCTCTCGGGAACAGTCACTTCCTCTGGACACAGGGCTTCCTTCTTCACCTGTGTCCTCGTTACTGCCGTGATTCTCTGAGGAGGCACGGTCGCTCAGCTCACCAGGCATTACCGTGACTTCCGCACAATGGCGTCATTTTAGAGACCAAAGTGCCGTGGTGGGGTGAAGGCTCAGTTCGCCGCTTGCCAGGCGCCTCACGGGGACAGCAGCTGGTTTTGCCGGGGAACGCCAACTTGAGACTCAGTATGAGGTGGCCAGTTCCCAAGATGACAGCCCGTGACCCTGCCTCTTGTGTGTACACCCTGAGCAGCCTGCACCCGCCTGGTCTCACGGTGGATCCAAATGTGGCAGAAGTGACGGTACATCACTTCCGAGATGACGCTGGGGCTTTTGCTTTGCTTCTTCCCCTCTCCCTCCACATTGCTCACCCTGGGGGCTCAGTGCCCTGTTGTGAGCAGCCCTAGGGGGAGGCTCATGTTGGGGAGAACTGAGTGAGCTTGGAAGCTGATCCTCCATCCAGCCCAGTGAACCTTCAGATGATGCCTTGGCTGACATCCTCATGGAAGACCTTGAGTCAGAACCCCTCAGCTACACTGCTTCTGGGTTCCCGACCATCTAGGAAGGCTGAGGTAATGCTCGTCATGTTCAACTGCAGATGCACCGGACCCTGCTACACACAAGAACACAGATGCACCTGGACCCCGCTACACACAAGAACACGGATGCACCTGGACCCCTGCTACACACAAGAACACGGATGCACCTGGACCCCGCTACAGACAAGAACACAGATGCACCGGACCCCCACTACACACAAGAACACGGATGCCCCGGACCCCCGCTACACACAAGAACACGGATGCACCTGGACCCTGCTACACACAAGAACACGAATGCACCTGGACCCCTGCTACACACAAGAACAGAGATGCACCTGGACCCCTCCTACACACAGGAACACGGATGCACC